GGAATAATCGAAATAAAGCGGAAATCAAGAAGGATAAATCATAAAGAAGGAAACAAAAATGAAACTGAAAAAATTGTGTGACTATTTAAAAAGGAGTAATACGTAGGAAGGTACATCAAGATTCAGAATAAAGTGTACATTGCGTAGGAGTACGCAATAAGGACATAAGAACGTTCGTGTAACAAAATTTTAACCTTTTCTTATGTTCAATACAGATTACGTGGCAAGCTGTGATAATTACTGTGTAGCGGATTGGACATTCCATATTTCCAAGATTTTAATACGCATTTTTTTTCTGAATTTCTGAAATCGGGGTGCGTCATACATTTAATGGCGTCTAAGAATCGTATAGTATTATTAATGGGCAAGGAAAATCTTTTTGTCCATAACTGTAGTCGTGGGACGTTAAACACAAAAAAATAGCAACAAATAAGATTCCGAAAGGATCGATACAACAATGTTTTTAATGTTTTGATATTGACAGTTCCTATTCTAATATACGTATTATTTCCGGAAGACCTTTTACTGAATTAAGTAGCAGAGACCTGATATTGTGCCACCCGATCTGTAAATATTTTACGAACTAAACAAAACTAGTTGTGATGTATAACGCAGGTTATTTCCTGTACCCGCCTCTGAATTGAAGATTGTGACGTCATAAAATGACGTCAGCTGTTCGGTTTGTAGTCGCTGATTCTTTGCACAGATAGTGGACGGGCGAATCACTGTTCGCGGTTCTACGCTTACATTTCACTGGCTTTTTCGACGAGTCAAAGTAAACATCGGAGTCCTCTGAAGTAAAACGGAAACAGACTTTTCCCCCCCTCCGTTCCAACGTTATTGCTAGGTTACTCAGCTGTTTTTGCAAAGTATGCAAATTGCACCGTCATTTGGTTTTTTTTTAATTCCTTGTGTTAATAAGCTCATTCGTGAATTCTTCCCAGAAGCCATACTTATATTTTGGACTCGGTTATATCCGAGACGTACGAAGGAAAAGCTGCCTAATTGCGGAAATAATTTGAAAGTCTCTGTCTTATTAAACAAACAGGAATTGTTACACGAAATCCAACGTGATTCGTTAAGCCGGCTAGCAGGTTTTTAATTTTGCGTGAGAGAAATATCTATTCGTTTCCTGGTTTTAGAGCAGTTTTTATGCAGAACCTGAATGTGTGCCTGAATTTTAGGCTGTATTCCCCCCAGAGCCGGTCTGGATGCAGAGGCTAGATTCTGATACTGACAGATCAGTGTTCGTACCTACGAATTCATTGTTGCGGTCTAAGATTGGTCCCAATGACGACAGAGCGCAGCACTTTGCTAGCGAAGTGATCGTGGCTGACAGAGTGCGCTGTAGCTTTGACAGAATTTTCCACGGAACTTTTCAAAGGTAGATGACACCACTGTCTGTGTATGACGACGACACCTCGAGACTTCTGGTATTAAGTGGAGTGGAATTTTTTTTTCTTCAAAATTTTGAAAATATGTTTAAAAAATTATTGTGTAGGTGAACTGTGAATCTGTCGACTTCTGTTTGCCTGTCGTACGTAAGTTACCACACGCGGGGCTGAGAAGGAGTTTTGATGTGTCAATAAGCCGTCATACTATGGTCATAATAACAAAAAGTTGAGATTTTAGGTTTTCACGGCGACAGT